AATTTCCCCAATAGGGGATTAATGAAGTATATATCTTTTGGACACGATCTTGCACATTTTAAATATTGTTACACTGCAGACTGTGAACTTTTGCTCATTTTCGAGTGAATACTTCCAGTTTATACTTCCTTGTTTTCATTTCTTTTCATATATTGTACATATTTTATATTTGACATATTTCATGTTTTTTTTTTTGTTTTTTTTTTAAATTAGAGTAAATCCATACGTGTAAGTAATCCCTACATCTTATACAGCCTACTTAGCACAGTGAAATAGTTGGCTGAATAAGTAATACCTCATATAAGTAATATTTATGTTATGTTATTTTCTTTTTACATTTTCATGCTGTATAATTTCAAATATTCTGCTGCAAGCCCCCATTTCCTCCAGGAGATCAATAAACCAATAAGATCTCATCTTGTCTCATTTTCTTATAGCATTAAAAAGAATGTGCTTTATGAGTTGGTGATGCATGCATCAACACACAACTGCTGAATATTTTGTGATGCGTTTCAGCTCAGGCTATGCGGTGCAGCCTCGAGATCTCTGAATGGAGCTGAAGCAGTGACTATGGAGTGTAAAAGGGAGCCTGCTGCTGTAGAATAATTTTTATCTTTATTATAGATGCATCCATTTTGTATTTAATGCCGATTATCTTAACAAAGAGTGTGCCCAGTGTGGGAGGAAACATTCGCCATCTGCATTAAAGCCTTTAAACATTTAACGCAAGGTTGCTAAGTAGAGCCCCTGTCAACTCAAACAAAGTTGTCAAAAGTTTATTTAAATACATGATAAAACAACTCGGGCTGTGTATTGGCAAGAATTTGGCAATACGTATCACAATGGGGCGTCAATCTTAAGCAATCTTAAAGGAATATTTCAGAATATTTTCAACAACTGGTATCCATAATTGTGTAGAATATAATGATGCAGGAATATTGGCTTAGCAGACCCTGTTTGGTCTACAATTCTTTAAAGTCCAGTTCACCAAATTACATAAAAATCTAACCAAGCGGGTAGATGAGTTTTACTTTTAGACTTCTGGCCACTATTCTTACTGGTAAAAATAACACTATAGTCACCAAGGTAACTGCTTAGATGTGGCAAGAATCACAAAATCCGAACATCTGTTACAGACCGGCAAGTAGTCACTTTGGTCTACTTGCCATTGTTGTGCGTACACACGTGTAGTGTGCCAGTGTTTTAGATAAATTGGGCAAATGCCGTCAAGGTCATAAATAAAAGTAGGACCAAGCAGACTAGGATACAAAGTGGTGCTCCTGACTTTGCTGCAGTTTTGTGCACAGCAGGGGTTGGAGGTACCCAACGCACTTCTTTTTAGTGATGTCCCCACATTCCGAGATGTCAGCAACGAATTTGGTGAGAACAATATTATCATTACTGGTAGACACGATGACCAATAGTATGAAAATAAAACTCGCAGACACTACAGGTGCACAGGGTAAAATGATCACTATCTATACTATAGATATCACTATGAAACCTCCCCAGTTGATTACTTACATTAAGTAAGACAAGTTTTCTGAAATTGAGTTTAGATATGCAGAAGAGACATTATCTAGTGCTAACTTTTTTGAAATGCACAGATGCAAATATACAAAATGAACACCTACCTATTTGTATGTTGGCTGTTTTCTTCCACTAGCCTAAAAGAAGACATTATGGGGGCAAAATAGTCCAAAATCTCAAAATTTACCAGTGTGGGAAAAAACATGTTTTTTTTAACTGTTTTGTCTCCTCTCAAGTCAAGTGTGAAAGTTCAGCCCTGGAAATAGATCATGGATGAACTTTCATTTAGCAGCTTTTTAAGCATCTCATGGTCTTCACTATAGTTGGCTCAGTTGTCATGGAGATGAGATAAGGTTGAAAGTTACAGAAAAAGTAAGTGAGTAGACCCAAAATGATTTGGTGAAAAAGCCCAACTTTTAATAAACTGCCATGTTCCTTTAAGCTGTCCATTATTACCTAATGCATCTCTCTCTCTCCCTCTCAGCACACAGAGCTGAAATGACTGCAGTTCCCCTTCGTCGTC